TCTGCGCTGGAGAATCACGAGTGTGCTAGAAAAACAAAGGGGATCTCCCCCCCTCCCTCCTCCTCCTCCCCCACCCATACAGAGCTGATCTACAGGGAAGACTGTCAGCGTTGGCCACAAAGCCAACAGACGTCTATAAAACAGTGAATGTGACTGTCACCAAACATTCTCTGCTGGAGAATCTTGCAGGAGCACGTGTTTTAAGCGACAGTGGCTGATTCTCCACCAGAGAATGTCCAGTGTAAGCCACATTTCAGGTCTGGCACCTGTACACCCAATTTACACACTCTTGCTATTGGCCTGGTGATAATAAAGCGGAATTGAACCCACCTTTGGGTTGATTGGCCGCGCCGGAGTTCATTGGTTCCACCACTTTGGGGAAGAAAGATTCGTCGGCTCCCAAATTTTATTGAAAAACTAGTAATGTGGAAAATGAGCGCGATAAAGTATACAGACCTGTGCTTATGGTGCGCGTATTGCACAGTGACAGCGCGCACCTGGTGCATTGTTACTGCCCGGGAGAGATATCCTTCCAGAAATATATATATGTGCCCCACCCCAAGAGGGGCTGTGTGAGAACTGATGAATGTAACGGATGTAACTGCAATAGATAGATGGATATAGGCAGGGCCGGATTTCCCACAAGGCCACCGGGGCCCGTCCTCGGGGCAGCAGGGAGTAGAGGGGTAGCAGGGGAGTGCAATTCCAATCGCCCGATGCCCGGGACAGGCAATTTTCGAGCGCCGGGCAGGTCGTTTTTTTCTACATTTAGTCCTGCTTCAAGCAGGAGCAGCAGGGCTAAATGTAGAGCCGGGAAGCTGCAGCTCATTTTGTAGAAGTGATCTCAGCGATGCTCGTCCGTCCTCCCCCGCCACCCCCCCTTCATGGTCCGCCCCCACCTCCGGTTGCCCGCCTTCCTCCCCACCGTGGTTTTTTTCGGGGTCCCTCCACTCTTCTGGGGGACCTTGGGACCACGGCAAGGTAGTTCAGGACGGAGAGCGGAGAATGTCCGTTCAATAAAGAGAACACGTCACCTCCAAATGCTACCACACAGGGGCTCATTAACTCCTG